GACCAGGCTCCACCAGCAGATGCTGAACAGGGTGCTATTCCACCAGAGATTACAGCTCCACTGGGTGAAGACACTGCAGGAAGTTCTGAACGTTCTCGATTTAGGCCCTCTCCCCGTACAGCCATAGAAAGCACTGGCCGCAGATCATCTAAATTCCGTCGGAGTACCAGTGGAGTTCAATCCCTGCAGGAAACTCTGAAAGAAAAACAGGTTTGTAATTGTGGCAGTTTTTGTAGGGGAAAATCCTTAACTTTCATTGAAGTTCGAGCACATCCTTATGAAACAACTTTGTGGTGCGCTCCATATACTCAATTCTCCCGTTGTGCCCCCCCCCCCCCCCCCGGCTAACAATGGACAAATGGTTATGGGTACTCTCATTATGACTTTTTTATGGTGGTTGTAAAGAAAGCACCAAATGTTAGCTGAGTTCAATTTTCAAGAGAGAAATAAAGATTGGGGAGACCTGAAGGGCTATATTATACTGACATTGTTCTGTACTCAGCATAGGGCTGCATGTTGTGCAGTTCTAATCCAGATAATTCCTTACACAGAGCATGGGACTAGTATCAACCCAGTCCTAATGGGTGGAATGCAAAAGCAGGAAACTGGTTCTCTCCACTTGCCCCTGAAGTTCTGTTGTGTGTATTAAGTGCCGTCAAGTCACTTCTCACTTATGACAACAGTATGAATTAATGACCTTCAAAATGTCCTATCATTAAGAGCCTTGCTCAGGTCTTGCAAACTGAAGGCCATAGCTTTATTGAGTCAATCCATCTCATGTTGGCCTCCTCTTTTCCTGCTGCCTTCAACTTTTCCTAACATTATTGTTTTCCCAGTGACTCTTGTCTTCTCATAATGTGACCAAAGTACAATAGCCTCAGTTTAGTCATTTTAGCTTCTAGGAAGAATTTAGGCTTGTTTTGAACTAGAAGCCTCTTATTTGGCTTTTTGGTGGTCCATGTTACCTGTCAAACTCTTCTCCAACTCCACATTTCAGATTAATCAACTTTTTTCCTGTCACTTGTCTTCATTGTCCAGCTTTCACACCCATCCATAGTAGTGGGGACTGTTATGGTATGAATTATCTGGAGCTTTGGCCAATGACACATCTTTACACTTAGGAATCTTTTCTAGTTATTTCATGGCTGCCCTTCCCAGCCTCAGTCTCCTGATTTCTTGGTTGCAGTCCCTGTTTTGATTGATGATTGCACCAAGGAATAGAAAATCTTTAACACTTTCAATTTGTTCATCATTGACCTTAAAGTTGTGTAATTCCCCAGCTGTCGTTACTTTTGTCTTCTTGATGTTCAGCTATAATCCTGCTTTGAACTTACTGCTTTTAACCTTCATCAGTAGTTGTTTCAGGTATTCACTATTCCATTGTACTTGCCCAAACATCAAGCAAAATATCTCAAACTGCTTCATATTGTGCTTCAGTGCCATCTTGTCTTAACACCATGGATCCATAAACACTTCAAAAGTTCTACACAAGAGACCTTGAGCAATTCCCCTTTGCATTTGTTCTGAAAATTTTTGCTTCAGTTCACCGGTTGTTAGGACTGAGTCTCTGTCAAAGTAAACTTCACAATACTATGTGTGTGCCTTTGACAATGTACATTACATTGTTATTGGTATTATTTTCTCTCCTATGATCCATTTCCACACTGTTTCATATATCAAAGCTTTCTTAAAGGAAAGATCAGGTTTTTTTTAGGGTGCAGCCATAAATATCATTATTTTCAATATTTTAAACATTCTGGTGGAAATTGAAGAGGCTTGAAAGACCTATGTTATCTTAAAATATACTGGCAAGGCACTCCTAGACACTTGATGGATTTATCAAAAGTCTCCACCCATCCTAACATCACCCCCAGTGCCTCTGCTGTATACCCTTTTCATCAATTGGCATTTATCTCCTCACATGTTAGGTTGACTTGGGGCTTTACAGTTTGTGGAACTTCAGACATAACATGAAATCACGGTTTAACTGAACTAACCATAATTAATGAATCTACACCACCACACTAACTATGGCTAGTTTGGACACCTCAGAGAAAGATCTGAAGCCAGGATATGAAGCTGGTTTGTTAACCCCATTTAGTCTTTACTGTGTTACATAGAAACACAATACCCTGGTTTAAGCCTGGTTTGTTTCCCACCAACACTCCATACTTGTCTTTCCTTCAGAGTTGCCTAGCAAGAATGGCTCAAAAACAAAACTGTTCTTGCTATCAGGTGACTCTCACTCATGGCCAGATCCTACACACACCTGTAAGTCTGCCTGGCAACAGACTCTTCTCTCCACCTCCACTTCTGCTCTCTTAAAGACACAACGAGGTGGCAAGTTCCTTCCATGCATCCCTGTGGTTGAGGGAAAGCAACAACAGTGGAGTGCTGGCTATCTTAACTGGCTGGAAGACAGTGGTTTACACAAACATTCACAGCCACAGTTCTTCCTGCTTGATACTTGCTTTCTCTATTCAGTAAAATACATATTCAAGGTAGACAAAAGGAGGTACTTTTTTACTCAACAAGTACTTAAATTGTGAAATTTATCACTAGTGGACATAGTAAACACTGTAAGCATATATGGCTTTAAAGGAGATCAGACAGATTCATGGAGGATAGGTCCATCAATGGCTAATGGCTATGAGTCATGGAAACCTCCATATTCAGAGCCAGCAAACCTCTGAAACTCAGTGCTAGGAGAGAGCATCGGGGAAAAGCCTTGGCCTGTACTCTCTTAGAAACATTAGCTTAACAACTTATCCAGGTAAAATGATGGAAAGCATTATTAAATATAAAATTGTCAAGCATATAGAAGGGCAAGCCCTGCTGAATAAAAACCAACTTGGCTTCTGCAAAGGGAAGTCCTATCTCACTAACCTTTTATTCTTTGGAAGTGTCAATAAACATCTGGGCAGGAATGAGCCAGTTAACATTGTTTATTTGGATTCCTAGAAGGCTTTTGACAAAGTCTCTCACCAAAGACTCTTGAGCAAACATCAGAGTCATGGTTAAATGGACAAGTCCTCTTATTGCCTAAAAAAAGAAAGGAAGCAGAGACTAGGAATAAATGGTCAGTTCTCACAATGAAGGGATGTGAACAATGTGGTCTGTAATGATTCCATGTTTTGGTGTGTGTGTTCCTTTAAATGTTTAGTTTGACTGCAGTACTGTAAAGAGAGTGATAGAGGGAGACAAGTGTATTTTGATTAGCTGATGACTGAGAGTATGGGAGGAGATGTTCTGAGAGGAATCTATGTGTGTGTTTTGGAAGATTCTGTGTGTGAAGTTTGAAGAGAGAACATAGTCTGTTGGACTATGGAATTTTGAGTTTAGTCTGTGTGACTAGAGAGTTGATTCTTTTCAGTGTGAATAAAACAAAGAGTCTAGTGTGGCTATATATATGAGAGAGAGAGAGTATGCTGAAAGTATAAGCCTGTCAGAGGGGAGTTTGGAGTTTGAGAGACTGTTTGTGGCACCAAGTTTGCCAGTTCCTTTCTTCAGCAACTATTCAAAATAACCAGAAACCTATTTTGTTCTTTATTAAATAAATCAATTTTTGTTTAAACTTATCCCAGAAATCAGTACAGTACTTCCTCAGGGCCACATAGTCCTCTGAAGTGCCCAGACCCTAGGTCATACTACAAAAAAAGAGAGATTTGGAATTTTAAAATTCCTAGTGACAGCATAAAACTACCAAGTTTATGTACTCAGAGAGTGTTTAAAGGTAAAACCGTTTCCCCTATAAGCAAGGACGTCACATGGTCCCTCACGTATTTGTATTGGGACTGGTGTTTTTCAGTGTGTTCATAAATGACATGGAATTAAGAGTAAGTAGTGAGATGGCCAAGTTTGCAGATGATACTAAATTATTTATGGTGGTTAAGACAAAAACAGGTTGTAAAGAGCTCCAAAAAGGATCTCATCAAACTGGGGGAATGAGCATTAAAATGCCAAATGAGATATAATATAAGCAAGTGTAAAGTGATGCATACTGGGGCAAATAATCCCAACTTCACATATATACTGATGAGATCTGAGCTGGCAGCAACAGACCAAGATAGGGTCCTTGGGGTGGGGATAGCTCAATAAAAATGTCAACCCAGTTTGAGGCTGCTGGGAAAAGAGCAAATTCCATGCTGGTCATAATTAATTAAAACTGCCACTATCAGTATCCAGGTGAGAACACACTTGGAATATTGTGTGCAGTTCTGGTCACCTCACCTGAAAAAATATATTATCGAGCTTGAAAAGGTACAGCAACCAAAATATTCAGAGGGCTAGAGAAGCTGTCCTATGAGGACTGGTTATAACATGTAGGGCTGTTTAGCCTAGAAAAATTGTGAGTAAGGGGAGACATAGCAGAGGTAAACTTGTTCTTCATTCCGGTATGGGTTTGGGGAGGGGGGAATTCAGAGAAGGAGAATAATTGAAAGATTATCTGATATACAGTAAAGGAAGTATAGCATTGGTTTCAAGTTTTGTATTTCTGAGGGACCACCTCTCCCCATATGTGCCCCATCATTTACTGGGATGTCCGCTTAGCCTTGAACAGGCTCCTGCCTGAGATCAGGGCTCTGCAGAACCTGTTACAGTTCTGCAGGTCCTGTAAAATGGAGCTGTTCCACCTGGCCTTTGGTTGAGGTGGCGGGCACCCAATTATTAGGCCTCCCCTGCTGAAGCTCTCCAACTATATATGGCCCATATTGATAAGATCTCCACTGTCCTTTGGTTTATAGCCTAGTAGCCTCCAGCCTTTTGGGATTGCTGTACTTCCCTGATTTATTGTGCTACCTGCTTTTAATTGTTTTAATTATTTATTATTATAACTCTTTTAATGGTTTTGTAACATTAGTGTTGTGACCGCCCTGAGCCTGCTTGTGGGGAGGGCGGGATGTAAATAGAAACAAACAAACAAATATTTAAACATGTAATTGTAACATCACTCTTTTAAATACACTTTTTCTGCTTTGCAGGCACGATACAAAGAAGCAAGGGAAGGCCGTAAAATGAAAATTAATTCTGCATATAAATATATATTTGAAATTCTGTCAGACCAACTTGGTTTAGACATTACAGCTGTGGAGGAACTAATTTTAGATGGCCCAACAGTGAGTCTGCTTTATTATAATAACTAGTTGTAAAATCCTTACATGGGCAGCAGACCAAGAGAGCCAGGGGCAGGAAACACAAGCTGAGTATCAGGTGGGGTATTGTAGTCCTAGTATCCTACTTACTGTCCTACTGCTCCTCTCAACATACGTGTAAAAAGAGGAAGAATGTGTGGCACTCCTACTGTCTAAATAGGCAGTGGAAAATGCTGTGCATATATGACACTAAACTGAATAAACAAATTCTGTACAATTGGTTGAAGAAACCTCACTGTTTACTGTTACTGTTACTTGTGGAAAATGATAAATAGTATTTTATTCTTGAAGAAGACACCTTCCAGAACGAAGCTTGTAATCTGGAACCCTCGTTGAACGAATGAGTGCATAGCGGATGTTAGTTACTTGAATGTATATTATGTTACTTACTTGAAACATTGAATGGTCAGCACAAATGAATTTCTTATAATTTATTGACTAATTCATTGTTACATTGTTGTATGTTTTATACATGCATCAACAATATATTTTCAAATTAGTTTATTCTGTTTAGTGTCATATATGCACAGCCTTTCCCACTGCCAGGCATTTCCAAAAAACCTGGTTTGAGTCCCAACTGAGTGCCTTACAGATATGCTGCTAGCTACTATCTCTCAGTGCAACCTTGCCTGACTACTCAGTGACCTCATTCTTCCTTCTTGGCAGCCCTGGATAGAACAGGTATAAAGGCATCCTAGAACCGCTGGATGTTTTCCCACCTCTTATTGAAGGGATCCCTTTGGGTGCCATGGCACTCACAAGAGACTTTCCTGATACCTGTGTAATTTTACTGTGATCTGGGAAATAAGAGTGCAACATTTAAATATCACACAAGGTAAATATTCTTAAATAAAAGAATAGGTTCTTTCAAATCCTACCTATGACAAAATAGTTACCACACGGCAGTTAATACTTTAACAGAAGAAGCTGAATGCATCTGCCTGGCATTGGTAGTAGAAGCTGTCACTAAGTAATCACCAGTTAAACAGGATCATTATTTTACATTAAAAGGATGCAGTGTTTCAGAACTTTTTGATTGTGAATAATCTATTTTTCTTTTATCAGTTAGAAGCATGTGAAAGTTTTTTTGTAAAAGGAGGAAGCAGAACTCTGAAGTTCTTATATCAAGAAGGTGAAGCACCTGGTGTAGGTAAGTGTTAATAATTTTCTGTGCATTGCTGTATTTCAACTTCAAAAGGGATTTAGAATGTTTTGCCCCCTACCAGGGTTACTTTTAATCATAGTGGATAGTCTAATTGATATGCTGCTATTATTCATGGAACTCAGTATGTGAGAAATGTATGGAAAATAAACCTCAGAAATCTGTGACTTAATAACACCCAAGCCCACCCGCACACACGATGGCAAGAGGAAATTAGATTGCCCAAGTACTTGACAGTTTATGGAATTTCCCCTCCTGCAATTCCTTGCATGCCTTTTGTTTATATTGATATATTCTAAAAGTATGAGTTTTTACGTGTACATTTTGTATCAAAAATTTATTACTTTTTGCCTGTCAAGGTACCTCTAGGCAACCTCTAGGTAAGAATTACACTAAAAAAAAGACCTACTACAAACAGCATATTAAAATCAGTCCATCAGCATTAGCAGTCATAAAAGTCACATGAAATAAACTGGCAAGCAGGCAGTCAAGAAGCTGTCGTTACTCTGGAAGGATTCCTCACTCTCCTAAAATAAATAAATACCTCTTGTCTTAACATCAGTGTATCTAATTCTCAATGTGGCCCCCTCCTGTGGATACTTAAATCTGAAGATTGCAGCCATGGATAGACAAGACAGAATTTTCTGCAAACCTGAGAAAAGCCACAGGTTTGCAGGAAAATCTGAGATCTTTATTTAAAAAAAACATTGGGGTCAAAAATCCCCAAATAATAGAAGCAGCACCTCCAGCTTTAAGAAATGAAAGTCCTCAATGGCTGTTGCTAGGCAACCACAATAGTATTACCAGCCTTCTAGCCCTGATTTTTGTTGATAAAAAGCAGGGGAAGGGGGCAGGACCCTTCCCAGGGACATTTTGGGCTTTGAGGGGAGGACTCAAGGTGCCAAGCCTGGCAGCATCCACCAGCAGGTGACTTGTTACCACCTGACTTTGTCTTACTCATCCAGGACCAGTTGTTTGCTGCTATTCAAGAGCAACCACCCAATGAAAGACAGCGTACAGTAGTGGTAAGAGTCTCAAACTAGGATCTGGGAGGTGCAGGTGTGAATCCCCATTCTGCCACTGAGTAACCTTGGGCCAGTTACACATTTTCACCGTAACCTACCTTACAAGGTTGTTGTGAGGGTAAAACGGAAGATATGAGAATAGTGTAAATTATTTTGTGTCCCTATTGTGAAGAAAGGAGGGCTATAGATGTAATAAATAATTCTATACATCTAATAGCAACATGTGGCCTCCATCTGAAGATACCTAAATCTGTGGATTGGGGCCATACTGATGCTAAACAAATTTTCCTGCAAACTTGGAGGACTCCCAGATCTTCATAAAAATACATTGTGGAGTTTAAATTCCCCCTGCGCATGCACATACAATGCACTTACTCTGATTCTGCAGCTGTGGACATTGGGATTTGCTCCAGGCCCAGCCACAGTTGCAGTGGCCTTTAGGAGCCACTCTGAGATGCCAGAAATTGCTCTAGGCCTGGCCAGCAGCAGTGGCAGACACTGGGAGCCTAGCCCTCTGATTGATGCAGGCTAGGATCTGCATCGCCCAATGTTTATCTGAGCGAAGCTCGACATTTGCGCTTGACCGCGTGGCACCCACACTAACCACGTGGTCGGAACAGAATACATTACACCCCTCCCCCCATGGTCTGCAATGCACCCACAAATAAAGTCCTTTAAATGAGCCGGTGCCTTTCTGGTGCGGGAGGAGCGGCAAAGCTCGGGAACGGTGGTTGGCGCCTCCCCTGATGTCCTCGGTGGAGAGCTGTCCAGGGGTGGCGCTGTGGTTTCCTGTGCCGGTATTTCTGGTGTAGCTGGAAGCGGTACCTCGGGCATGCCCCCAGGACGAGGCATGGGTTCGACAGGTCCCGGGTGTAGAAGGGCTGGGGTATACGGGGCTTCCGTAAGGTCTAAGTCCTTGGGTTCCAGAGGCAAGGTCCAGTGGCGTAACTGATTGATATGTCGATGCAGTACCTGTCCATCCTCACATGAAATCTCGTAAGATCTCGGGCTCTTGACTCTAACCACTCGAGCCGGAATCCAGGCTGGTCCCCGGGTATAGTTCCTTGCATACACTGGATCCTCTGGGAAGAATCCCCTGGCCACCTCGTGGGTCTCTGTGGCTGGAGCTTCGACTGGTGCATAGTCTAGGTGCAGGCGGCCGAGAAGTAGCTCCGCCGGACTGCGCACTGTAGTGGTGTGGGGCGTAGTTCGCTGGCCGAAAAGGAAAGCAGCCAGTTTATAGTCCCAGTCCGAGGAGTCCATGCAGCGGAGGGTGTCCTTCAATGTCCAGACCATGCGCTCAGCCTGTCCGTTGGTTGCGGGGTAGAACAGGGCAGACCGGACGTGGCAGATTCTGTAGTATCTTGTGAAGTCCTGGAACTCACAGGATGTGAACGCCGTTCCGTTGTCCATGACCAACATGTTGGGGATCCCCTGGGCGCTGAATATCCGCCACATTGCCTGGATGGCTGCCTTCGAAGAAGTGGAAGGTAGAGGGACTACCTCCAGCCACTTACTGTAGGAATCTATGAGTATAAAGAAAAGCTGCCCCTGGAAAGGTCCAGCAAAGTCCAAGTGTAACCTGGACCAGGGGCGGTGAGAAGATTCCCAGGCCCTTTCCAGGGCCCAAGATGGTTCCGACCGGGAAGCCTGGCATGGTTGGCACCTTTCAACCACGTCCTCTATGTCCTTGTTCAGCCCAGGCCACCAGACGTAACTGTGGGACAAGGCTTTCATGCGCACCACCCCGGGATGCGCTTCGTGAAGGGCGGTGAGGACCCTTTCCCGTAAGGGCTTAGGGATGACCACTCTGCTTCCCCACATCACTCAGCCTTTATGGACGGACAGTTCGTCCTTCCGGGAAGCAAAGGGTGTAAAATCAGGATCCCCTTTGGCCATGGGCCACCCCCTCACCACCCAGTCCAGAACCCTGCAGAGCACCTTATCCTTGGCGGTGCAGCGAGCCACCTCCTTGACGTGGACTGGCTGATCCAGGAGTGTGATCAGGTGAGCGGGAGCTGGTCACAAACGGGCAGCGGCAGGTGGCTTAGGGCGTCAGCATGGCCCATCGTCTTCCCTGGTTGGTGAACAAGGGTGTAGGAGTACCCCGCCAAGAAAATTGACCAGCGGAGCACCTGAAGTGAAATCATTTGAGGGGTCTGGCGGTCGGGAGCCAGGAGACCCAGCAGCAGCTTGTGGTCGGAGAGGACCGTGAAGGGGTTCCCGTATAGATAGTGGTGAAATTTCTTCACCCCCGCTACAATAGCCAGCGCCTCCTTATCTATTTGCGCGTAGTTGCGCTCAGCTGCAGAAAGAGTCCATGAATAATAGGCTACTGGGACCTCGCAGCCATCTGGCAGCCGGTGGTCCAGGACTGCCCCAACCCTGTAAGGCGAAGCGTCACAGGCCAGCACCACAGGGAGTGCCTTGTTGAAATGTGCCAGGACCGAATTTGACATGAACAAGTCCTTGACTGCTTGGAAAGCTGCAGCTTGTGGTGGACCCCAGACCCAAGGCGCCGACTTGTTCAGGAGGCGGTGGAGCGGTACAGTTGCAACTGCAGCTTTGAGGGGCAAAAAGGAATGATAAAAGTTCAGGAGCCCCAGAAAAGCCTGCAGCTCTGACTTAGACTGTGGTGGCGGTGCGTGTGTGATGGCTTTCACCTTGTCCGCGGTGAGGTGGATGCCGGAGGCGTCGACTGCAAAGCCCAGGAACTCGATGCGAGGGACCCCCAGTATGCACTTCTCTCGCTTGACCTTGAGCCTGACCGTGTCGAAGCGGCAGCACAGCCCGCAGACGGTCAGCGAAAGACGAGTTGTCCAGGGCGGCAATCAGCACGTCGTCTAAAAATGACTGAACTCTGGGGATATCTTTCAGTTGCGAATCCATAAAAGATTGAAAAATTCCTGGCACAACCGAGACTCCGAACTGGAGGCAGTGCACCTTGAAAGCCCCCCTATGTGTCATGATTGTTTGAGCCTCTGCTGTGGCAGCATCAACTGGCAATTGTTGATACGCATAGGCCAAGTCCAACTTGCTGAAGACCCGCCCCCCCACCAAAGCTGCCAACATATGGCTCACCACCGGCACCGGATAAGCGTGTGGCTGCAGAGCTGTATTAAGCGTACATTTGTAGTCAGCACAAATGTGCACGTCCCCGTTCGGCTTCACCAGGGTAACTATAGGGGTTTCCCACCGTGCAGACGCAACTGGTTCCAGAACCCCTTGTGCCACCAGGCGATCTAGCTCAGCCTCAATCTTAGGCTTCATTGCAAGCGGCGGTAGCCAGGCCTTAATGCGGATAGGGTGAACAGCAGGGTTAAGGTCCAGTGAAATAGGTGGCCCAGAAAACCACCCCAGGCTGCCATCGAAAACTCGGGGAAATTCAGCGCATGCAGCGCCAAAATCCTGTAACTGGACCTGGTTAACCCCATTCAAAGACCGTCCCAGAGACCTGAACCAGGAGAGGCCCAGCAGACTGGAGAGTCGCCCACCCACCACCAGCAGGTCTAAGGGGCCGTTAAAGTCTTGGAACTGCACCTGGAACTTGTCTCAGCCCAGTACTGCCATGGGGTTTTTATTGAAGTCTCGTAAAGTGAAGCCTCGTGGCTTTTACAGCCCCCCCCCCCGTGGGGACACAGCTTGTGGAGCGTATCCGCGGAGATAATGGAAAACAATGAGCCCATATCAATCTCCATGCTGCAGGGGGACCCCTCTATAAGAACAGTAACATGCAGTTTGTTGGGGCTGTCGGGGGGCAAGTTACATACCAGGTGCTGCTGGTGGTTGGCCAAGAGAGTGTGGAGGCCGATGTGCTGGTCCGTCGAAGTCTGGTGTGTGGAGGGCCTCGGGCGCTGTCCCATGGAGCAGCAGACCCTGGAGATGTGCCCCGATTTGTTGCACGTTCTGCAGACGGCGTTCCGGAAACGGCACGACCTGCGTTCGTGGTCCTCTCCGCAGCTAGCACATGGAGCCGAGGGAGCCAAAGACACCTTGCCCAACGTGGATGACGACTGATGCGAGCACTGAGACAACTGATGGTGGACCTGTAGCACCTCTTCCTCGTCTGATGCGTCGGAGTCAACAGAAGCTTGTGTGCGATGAACCGCCTTAGCGCGGTGGTCTTGATGGGACTTCTCATAAGCGGTGGCCTCCCGGATCGCTTTATCCAGATCCAGGTCATCCTGGCTGACCAGCCTCCTCCGGAGCTTAGGCTCCCATAGTCCCACGAGGAACTGATTGAGGAGAGCTTCAGCCAGGTTGGTGAAGGAACACCGGGTGGCGGCCCAATGCAGAGCCGCCAGGAAATCAGAGGCGGTCTCATCGGGGCCCTGGACTTTCGCAAACAAGTCCATGCGCTCCACAAACGTAGTGGGTTTGGGAGCCAGGTGGTCGGTCAGTGCCTTAACCAAAGAGTTGTAAGACTTGTTTTTTGGTCAGCCAGGGCGCTATTAAGCAGGAGATTGGCCTCCATCCCGCAGTGGCGGAGAAGGTACGCCTTCTTCATACCTGGTTCCGTTACATCATGGATGGTGAAGTGGCTCTCGAGGGTCTCCAGCCAGGTTTCCCACTGCGAGGGATGGGAGATATCGAAGGCAGGGAGACTCTCCGGTGCGGCAGCCATCTTAGGTTCCACAAGGAGGCAAACGGCGGGAATGGCAGGAACGGCAGGAACTAGCGAGTGTAGAGAAGAAGCGGTGCGGTGCTGCTCTCGGGGTCAGCGGTGCGATGCTTTGAGCTGGAAGCGGTGCGATGAGCGAAGTTACTGAAGATACGCACGAACAAACGGCGTGTGGTGATCTCGGCGCAGCAACTCGATGCGATGCCCGGAATGTGGCCTCTGTTCAAGGGGAAATTAATCCCACCTTCGTTGCCAGTGAAAACTACGCATACGAGTGATTTCAGCTTAGCGTACTTTATTTAGTGTAGAACAAGACAACTTTAGCCAGCTCACAGGCCAGCTTATATCCCCCGTGAGTCCACCACCCAGAACCCCCCCCACTTCCCAATAGGTTCTAACTAGTAGCCAAGAGTCCCATAGGCACTCGGCTGGGAGCCTAGCCCTCTGATTGGTGCGGGCTAGGATCCACATTGTCCATTGTTTATCTGAGCCAAGCTCGACGTTTGCGCTTGACCGCATGGCGCCCACACTGACCACGCGGTCGGAACAGGATACATTACAAAAAGGTAAGGATATAGGGATTACCAGGAGGAGGAAAAGAGTAAATAGTGTGGGGAAGGGAATACAGGGGAAAGTGAAGGCCCCCCCCCAGTCCTTGCAGGTTCCCCACCATGCAGTTCGGTCTGGCACAGTGTTTTCCCAGGGAGAGGCTGCCAGAAGGAAGGAATCAGGGAAAGCTAAAGATGAAGCAGATAAAGGTAGGTTGGCTGGTGGGTGGGAAAGAGAAAAGGAAGCAGGATAAGGGGAGAGGCTATAGGGGCTTTCAGGGAAGGGAAAGCGGAAATAGTGGGAAGTGGATTAGATGCTCTCCACAGTTCCTTGTGGGTCAATTATGGAGGTAGTTACTATAGCAAAGATCTATGCACCCATTACTTCACTGTAATTTCTTAAAAGAGCTGCAGCAGGACTGGCTTTAGCAGGTACTTCACCAATGCCACCATGTATATGTTTTAAGATAAGAATGTTGTTTTTAAATGTGTTTTTTTCCAGAATGTGGTAGAGCAATTCCAGGAGTTTTAAAAGGAACTAAAATGATGAAGCTGTACATTGATGAATCACCAGACAAGTTCAAAGGATTGTGCTTATTCTTTGTACGCGCTCGGAATGATATTGCTGTGAATGTAAAATCTATGCATGAGGTATTCTGCTTCCCAGCTGTTAATATTATGATGATTACATCCATCATAACAACATGTATGGGGACAGTGAGGGAGAGAGAAGGACCATGTATTACATATATTTCTGGGTGGGTGCACTGCTTTGTGGGATCCCTCTCAATGGAGGCTAGGACACGTAGTATAAGGGGTAGGCTTTTGTACAGAGATAATCATTCTGCCTGGAGTATGGACCAGCCCATGGCCAGAGAGGGAGAGAAGGATGACATAGACATACTTCGCTGGGGAGAATCTGGCCATAACTTTACTGGTTACAGCTAGGGTGTCAAACTTATTTGTTACAAGGGCTGGATCTGACATAAATGGGACTTTGTGGGGCCGGGCCATGCATGTCATAAAATGTAATGCCAGGTAGCGGAGATAAAACTTTATAAAGGATACAGATATATATATAAAGGATATATATTTCTGTTAACATTTGGTTTTAATTTTAGTTTGTTATGTTTTAATCTCGTTAAATTCTGTTTTAAATTATACTCAGCCTACTATAGTCATTCCACCTTAAAGAGTTTCCCCCCTTCTTTTTTCTCTCTTATTGTACCATCTTCTTTTCTTTTGGGGCTGTAAATAGTTCCTATAGTCTTCTGCTGTGGGAAATTTTTTTTGCCCATACTGACTTGTTGTGCCCAAACAAAGAATATTAAGTGTATTTGGGATTCTTTCGGGGTTGTTCCTTCTGGTATGTTGTGATCTTCTTTCTTTAAACAGGAGTGCATCTGTGTTCTCCATTTTCACATTAGAGAGATTGTTCTCTAAGATTTTTTTCCTCTTCAAAAAACAACTCTTCATTCGGATCTTTTAGCTCATTTGAAGATTCATTTAAAGGTGGTTCCAACAGACTTTCTTCTTGGTGGAATTTGCATAAAGCCTCTTGCATAAGCTCAGTCCAAAGACACAGTCTATGTAAAGATGTTGTTAAATATTTCTGTTATCTCTTGGAGATCCATTTCTATAAATCAGTTTAGGCAGGTAGACAATTAAGCAAAGAGGTAGACCATCGATTAGTTCCGATAATCCATCCTTCAGTTTGCAATCTAAATTATAGTCCTTTTGATGTTGTTTCCTTTAGCTTGAGACCCGCTCCCAGAAGAGGGGGGAGGGAAAAACTATATGAGTGTTCCCCTCCTCCGCTTTTTTTCTTTCTGAACTGTTTTGCAGTCTGGTTGAATGCTACAGTTCTATTCCAAAATACGTTTCATATATGTGCTAAGAAAAAGGATCTTGCTTGTTAGATGTCTTCTTGTATTTGTTGTAGAAAGTGATTTATCTGTAGAAATAAGCTTAGTTTTGATTCTCACAAAGTCTGGCAGACACAGCTTGGAAGCCAATATGGCGATTGCTTGGCTGGGGCACTGAGATGGACAAAAGACTCCAGAACCCAGCAGCTGCTAGATTCTGGTACTTCATCAATTCTCCTGCTTCAGAGACCTCTCTCCTGAGGCCTCCCCTAGGAGTTTGGATAAATCAAACTCCCCCACACCGTGCAATTTGAGTGGCTGCTGGAGCAGGGCCCTGCAGCTCCACTTGATTGTGCTGTGCTGAGACTGGAACGTTCAGTTGCCTATAGGTACCCAGTTTGATGACCCCCCCCATCACTGATATCTTGGGGTGTTTGCCAACTTAAAATCCCCTCAACACCATGCAGAGCAGGTGAAAAAAGGCCTTCCCCTTGGCCAATCTGAGTGAGGTCCAAAAATTCCTGCTCAGCTCAAAAAAACAGCAACATGGTCTAAAAAAGAGGGTGGGTGGGTAGGAAGCTCGTGCTGGGCCAAACTGAGGAGGAAGGGTGGCTGTCGCAAACCAGCCCTCGATTGGCCAGCACTCCTGTGCTAAGCCACAATTGGCTCCCCTCACCCTTGTGCTTCCTCAAAGGAAATGGGAGGGGGCAGCCAAATTCTGGTGCCCACTCCATGGGCAGACTCCGGTCTTTTGCCCAGTCATATTTATTCCCAAATATTTAATAGGATTGGTGGCGGCTGAGCACTCTGTGCCCTTTATAATGTCTTCTTGTTATTGTGTTAAAATTTTCGTTATCATTTTTGTCTTTTTTCTGTTAATTTTATAGCCTGATTAGAATCCAAATTCTTCAATATGTTCAATTATATATTGCAACATTTTCTAGGGATTCAAGACTGTTAGAACCACATCACCTGCATAACTTTTCATTTTGAACTCTACATTATCCACTTTTATTCCCTTAACTCTATTGAATTGTCTGTTCTTTATAGCTAAAATCTCAATTGCTAGTATGAATAATAAAGGGGATAAAGAACATCCCTGATGTGTTCTTTTTTCAGTTGAAATTGGTTATGTTAGTTTCCCGTTAATTAAAATATTTGCTTTTTGGGTTAAGTATATTCCATGCATCCAGTTCCAGAATGCAGGACCAAAGCCTATAATTTGTAGAACACTCAGTAAGAAAGGCCATGTTAAGTTGTCAAACGTTTTCTCTGCATCTAGAAATAGAAACATCGCTTGCTTTCTCTTGTTATTCACAAATTCCATTACATCTATTATGAATCGTATATTATCTTTCATGTTCCTCTTTCATACAAAACCTGTTTGATCTGAGTGTATTAAATTTGGTACGCATTTTCTTAATCTTTCTGCCATTTTTGTGGCCAAAATTTGTAGACTACATTCAGCAGAGATACTAGTCTATAAGACTGTGGTAACAATGCATCACTTGTCCTCTTTATGTGTTATCATTATATACGCCTCTTGCCACATCAGGGGTATTGTCCTTTCCCCCTTTGTCTCATTCAGAACTTTTTTGTAACGGTATTATGAATACTTCTTCAAGATTTTTGTAATGCGTTGCTGTCAAACCATCTGGTCCTGGTGCTTTTATTCTTCTTCATGTTCTTTATTGCTTGAGAGATTTTTTGAATTGTTATTGCTCGGTTTAATAATTTTCTATGTTCTGGCATAAACTTTGCAATCGGGATGTCTTATTATTTCTTCTGAAACAGACTTCTTTTTATATAATCCTGAAAAACCACTGGTAAATTGCTCCTATATTTCTTTTTTTGCATGTGTAATTTGATCTCCTTTCTTTACACCTGTTATTACTCTTTTACTCTTTCCTTCCTGAGACAATATGCCAGATATCTGCCAGCTTTATTCGTATATTCAAAATTGTTTTCGGAATTTTAGTTTTTTTCTGTTCCTCTTCCATTTCTAACATGTCTAATTGGTTTTTAAATTCTTTGACCTCTGCTAGTGTTTTTTATTGAGATTGGGTTTTTTCCTGTTCCAATCTGTAATTTTTTCCTGCTATTATCTTAGTTTGTTCTGAACTTTCTCACTTTTTTAGCAGAAGCTGCTAGTAGAGTTCCCTGATAAAAGCATTATTTGCTTCCCAAATTGTGGCTGAAGACATTCCTTCTGTGTTGTTTATTTTAAAAAACTCTTCCAGATCTTTTTTACACTTACCTACCACATTTATTGTTGTAAAAGAGCATCATTTAATCTTTGTCTTCTTCATGATTCTCTGTTCCATTGCACGACTACTTCTTTGGGAATGTGGTCGGAAAATATCTTTGTTTGAATCTCTACTTTTTCTAAATTCTTTGTCAAATTTCCAATACATGGAAATGCTGGAATTAGAAGATTCCTAGAGGACCAAGCATTCAAAGGGCAGAGACTTTACCTTCTTCAGACAGACATCAAATATATTCAAGAATAGAAATGTCCTGGATATCAAAATGTTTGACAATGAATTTAGAAAAAGTTGAGGTTGACAACCCTATTGTATTTTCAGCACACACTCTGAAAGAGATCCCTTCTTAGAAAGGCTGCTTTTTGTGGACAGCTTGCCAGCCTCACCTTTTTGCCCCTCCCTAGGGAAGATATCCTGCCAACCTAGCAGTTCGAAAGCAAGAAATTGCAAGTAGATAAATAGGTACCACTTCGGTGGGAAGGTAACAGCATTCCGTGCACCTTGGTGTTTAGTCATGCCGGCCACATGACCACAGAAATGTCTTCGGACAGCACTGGCTCTTCGGCTTTGAAATGGAGATGAGCACCGCAACCCTAGAGTTGGACTCAACTGGCTTTCGAGCAAGGGAACCTTTACCTTTAGGGAAGATAATCTCAAACCCAGGGGTCATTTCGTAGAAAAAGAGGTGCAGGAGCTCATTAACACAACTCATTAGCATAACTTATTTGCATATGCCACACCCCCTGATATCACCGGAAGTGTGTCAGAAGGCAACACCCACCACTCAGGCTCCACTGGACTGTTTTGGATTGCTAGCTAAGGGGGGGGGACGTGTAGATCTGTCCTCGCAGAGGAGGGAGAGCTTGTACCTGAATAAAACTTGGTCTTAAAGGTGCCACTGGACTGTTTTGGACCTGTTGGTTCTGCAGCTTACCTGTCTGCTTCTTGCTCTGACTGAGGGCTGCTGGGAGCAGGGGGTGGGGCTTGTTGCATGTGCCCACCCCCTGGGCTCTTTATTGCCGGAGCTCCGCTCCTGTGCGATCCTGCAGGAAATGACCCCTGCACAAATTAGAGATCTTTTTATCCCATCGTGCCCATCTCTGATAGCCTACAGGCTTTGCATGCCATGTCAAAATGGTTCAAAAGGTGCCAGCCTCTTGCAGGGAAGGCAGAGTGAATTATCCCAGTGAATACTGTGCAATCTGCCATCCAATTGTTTTATCTACCTCCTTTTTCTTGCTACCTTTTACCTCTTTCTTTCCTTATATTCCCCTTTAACTCATCACCTCCACAAATTAGTTAGAAGACAGCCACATACTTACCCAAAAAAATCCTCTTCTGAAACCTAGTAGGAAGATTGACTCCAGGTGGGTTGTCACTTATCACATATGGTTGAGCTGGCTTCATTATCACTGCCTATTTCCTGGCTAGGAACCCATACTTCTTTTGGAGTTGGGCAATATTTACAAGTATGGTCCCTGAGCTGCGGTGCCCATCTTGGGAATCCTGGAACATGAGCCCTCATCTTCCAGTACTTCCTCATTGAGAAATCATTCCTGGAAGAAGTTGACTTGCCTGAGGATCCAGTGCTGTCTGAATACTCATCCCTGTCCTGTCTGCTGAATCACTTGCACTCAGACTTCTGGTATGTCTTCCTTTTAGTGGTCCAGCACTGTTGACCATCCTCAAGTCCTACCTTAAGAGCTGTCAGTAGATGGTGATGCTGACTTCCTGGGCCTGCGTTTGCCCATAATGTCTTAGATGCTTGGTGAAGTGTGTTAGGTCTTTTGCCAGACCAGCCAGTAAGCAAAAACTGGCTTTTACCTTTCTATTGCCATGATCCTCACTGGAGGGCAGAAGAATTGGATTGGGTAATGTTTGTGCTTGCACTGCAGAGGTGTGGCCTCTCTGCATGGTAGATGGAATGGGGGCTGAAATGGGGGGGGATCTGGCCCTGTTGTCTAGATGCAGGCATCCTGCCTTGAAGGCCAGGCAGCTCCAAAGTAGGGATTAACTTTGTGACATGAGACTTTCTCTGTTGAACAGGTGGAGCATCTGATGAACAGGTAGTGGCTCTGTGATCTTCACAGGAGGCATCCATCTAGAAGAAGGCTTTCCCTGGCAGAGGGCTTTAAATGCACACCTGCCTCCCCTTCCTTTTAAACATGAGCTGTGGACCAGATTGAAACCTGCAGCCCTCAGATCCGCTGACTGCACTCCCCCCCAAGGGATGCAGCTGGCCACTGGGATTGGGGCTGTAGGAAGCTGCTTGAGAACCACCTGGCTGAGAGCCAATGCTGGGTCCAATTGCCCAGGTGTCATCTTGTTCTCCCCCCCCCAACACACTCATACTGTATCCAAGCACAAATCATGCTCCAGTGTAAGGCTGAGAGGTAGACTTAGATTTTCTTTTTAGCCCAAAAGGCTTAAGTCATTTTGTGGGTTTGGATTTTTAATCAGTATCGTAATGTTTGGTTTTCAGGACATCTACTTCTCATTACTTGATGGGATTGAAGGTCTCCTCCTTGGGATCAGGAAAATACTTGCAAATGTATTTCTACCAGCTATCCTAGCAACAAGTAATTGGGGTGCTTTAAATCAAACCAAACAGGGAGAATGTGAAAAACAGAACTTTATGGAAACTCTTAACAGATACCTTTTGTTTCTGGATGGTAAGGACCTTGTTAAATGAAAGTAAAGAGCTCAATTATTTGAAAACACTCTACTTTTGTATACTTATTACAGAGAGGTGTCCTAATACAAAGTTATCATTGGCCGCAGTCATACACACTAATTAATCCACTTTCAATCCACTTTCAGTGCACTTTCCAACTGGATTTTACTGTGTGAACTGGCAAAATCCAGTTGGAAAGTGCATTGAAAGTGCATTGAAAGTGGATTATTTAGTGTGTGTGATCGCAGCCTTATGGCCCATTCTGCATCTAGCATTCGCTCCGCTGTTTTACCAAACCCACATTGAAATAGAAATTCCCCTCTACATTGCATGCCACTTTCTCTTTGATCGATTGTTGGATTTTATGGCAGTGTCCAGTCTGCATGCTGCTTTCACTTCATTTGATCTCTCTGGAGTTTTATGGTACCATCTGCATAGACCATTTTATGGCCATTCAGGGCTGACTTTGCAGTCAGTATGGCATTGGCCTGGGGTATTTGAATGTGGTTTTGAGCTGCATCTTTTTCTGTTCCAGTGTGGGTTTGGTAAAACAGCAGAGAAATGCTAGATGCAGAATGGGCCTAAGTACCTAAGTATTTCTGCATATGCCCTAATCAAAACAGTCAGCACTGACAATCATGTGTCGAGAGAATAAAATTGGAAAAATTGGAAATTTTGTGAGACCACTTTCATCAGACAAGTTTTGAGACTGTCAGAGATAACTATGCCAGTCATTTCTGTACATAGCCCAGAAGCTGGGTATGAAGCTTTTAGTGTGGCAGTGATCTTTTGTGCGTGTGGACCACTGTTCCAGTTAGCTGGGACATGTCTAGGAAGCTGCTACCAAGTAGACTGAAGCCATTGTGGATTTTCTTCTGCCTCTACGTTCTGAAAGCAGAGGGAAGAGAATTGGTGAGATCTTAAACACAGGAATAAGAGAATATGGTCTTATTATATGCACAGCTCAAGAGTTTTTGTTTCCTGGGGGCATAAAGTCACCATGTGTCTGTGAGGAACAGCTGCATCAAATCTAGTTTCTGGGCAACTGGGCAGCTGGGAGCACATTATTTCGAGTATGAGGAGAAAGGTGGATGAATGGTCTTGCTAAATGAAACATGATATAAGGATTAAATGGCAGATTCTGAATGTGTTCTCTTACTTATTTCAGGTGCTAGAGTGAGTATTGAGGGGACTGTTGAGCTGAGAAAAATAGATTACATTGACTTTTCTAAACTCCAGTCTTTTGAGGAGGTGACAGCTGCAGCTGCTAATCCTGATACCGTTCATCAGTTAGAGGATGTGCTTATGATATGGTATAAGCAAATTGAACAAGTAAGTTTCTGGTCCATCTGCTGTGATGAATCAGGAATTCACAGTACATGGGGCATATTGTGCATGTAGTTTTTTTAAGCATAATATGTTAGCCAGGCAGGAGTGGTGAGAAGAGGAGCAAAGAGGGAGGAAGGAGGGGTGTGGCTGGTGCTGGGAGGATGTGAGGGGAAAAAGAGAAGGGGGTCAATATCTAGGGATATGGGAGAGGCACATAGAGATGGAGGGGAAAGAGGAAGGGAGTGTGGTGTAAGGTTACAGGAAATGTTGTCCAAAATAAAGCTTTCTGGCCACATACAAAATAAGCTGCTTAATTTTATGTAATGGGGGTGGGGGTAGAGGGATTTCTCTAATTCCAGCTCCTGCCAACCTAGCAGTTCGAAAGCAAGAAATTGCAAGTAGATAAATAGGTACCACTTTGGTGGGAAGGTAACAGCATTCCGTGCGCCTTGGTGTTTAGTCATGACGGCCACATGACCACAGAAGTCTTCGGACAGCGCTGGCTCTTCGGCTTTGAAATGGAGATGAGCACCGCAACCCTAGAGTCGGATTCAACTGGCTTTCGAGCAAGGGAACCTTTACCTCTTTAGAGGGATTTACATATGTAAATATCCCTCTGTGCACTTTTATGACCCTAGTTTGTGCTCTAAGCCTGTGTATATGAAGGCATACACTTGGTGTGATACTTTTTTAAAAATGAGAGATGTTTCTAATTTGAATAAATCTATATTTATTGGCTATGGCAAAGGATAGAAAAAAGTAAGAAGAGAAGGTGCACTTACTGTAAGCAAACCTGAAATGCACTAAGGAGGCAGTTAAGCAATTTCTAATGGAAGTGATCACACTCTTTTGCCGTATTCACCCACAGTTAGTCCAAATGGAACACACTCATGACTGTGTGTACTATGTCCCCAAACAAAGGAAAAAAGAAAAAGGAACCAAAGGAATGGAGTTGCAGAATGTGAGAGGGGGCATATTGACTAGGAAGGAGGAGGAGAGCTAGAAGAACAGAGAGATAGGGAGAGCTTGGAAGAGAGGTGAGGATATAAGGGTAGACGGGGAAGACAGGTGGGTTAGCCAGGCTGGAGTGGATGAGAACAGGAGCAAAGTGGGAGGAGGAAGTGGCAGGGCTGGTTGCTGGGAGGATGTGAGGGGAAAAAGAGAGGGGAGTCAACAGCTGGGGATCTGGGAGAGGCAGTAGAGGTGGTGGGGCAAGAGAGAAAAATCAAGAGAGCTTCATACATTGGCTAAATTGAAGCATGTGTATTGTAAGGAGCCATGGTGGTGGAAGACAGTTCTGTGGTGAACTGAACCTAAAATGGTGGGCATTGAGGGGTTACACAGGGGTTACATAGGCCACAGGAGTGGAGGGATCCTGCGAGTAGTATTGAACAGAACCTTTTTCTGGTGACCATATCTGCAGACTGGAACTTTCTTTCATTTTTGTTGCTGCTGTTGCAGCAGTTCCCACTTCCAGAGACACAAGCGGCTGTTCACTTTTAAAACATGATTTGCCTCTTTGGCTTTTGGAACTACTGTGGGGCAAACTTCAAATAAACTGCTTCCTATGAGCATGGTTCCCCTCTGCATGCCTAAACATTTCATTGAAATGCAGCCTATACCTTTTGTATTTGAAACAAGTTGTATCAATGACCCCATCAAGCGATAGGATAGGGATCAGAAAACAATTATTTTTCGATTAAACTGGTATAGTTGGATTTAAGCCACTTTACTACCATTCGTATCTATGATAAGTACTTAACATTCCTCCTTCAAGAAAGAAGAAATTGATAGAACTAGTAATGACTGTGTATAGCATTAACTAGTTGTTACCAGGTGAAAAGTTGTAATGACACACAAATTCTTCTGTTTATTATAGGTTTTGATTGAGAGTGAGCAAATAAGAAAAGAAGCTGATGACTCGGGTCCTTTGACTGAACTAGAGCACTGGAAGCGTATGTCTGCTAAATTTAATTTTATAATTGAACAGATCAAAGGACCAAATTGCAAGAGTGTCATAAATACTCTAAATGTTTCACGCTCCAAAATGATAAAGGTAAGACCAATAAATTCTATAATTGATTTAAAATATGTCTATGACTTGCATAGCCTAGGCTAGCCCAATCTCATCAGATCTTGGAAGCCAAGCAGAGTCAGCCCTGGTCAGTATTTAGGTGGGAGACCACCAAAGAATACCAGGGTCCCTACACAGAGGCAGGTAATGGCAAGCCACCTCTGAACATCTCTTGTCTTGAAAACCCTATGGGGCTGACATATGTTGGCTGCAACTTGACAGCAAAGAAAAATTAATTTAATTTGTTAGTTTAAAATATTTCTATGCCTGCCTTTCTTCTGAGCATCTCATGACCCAAGGTGGATATTTACTTTAATGACAGGGTCTCTATGGTACCCTTCTCTTTCAGGCTTATAATGCATACATAAAACCATATTCAATTAATCCTATTTATTTAATCTAGTATAACTATCATTACTCAATAATCACTAACACATTAAAATTCTGACTGTTTTTATAACAATGCATTGAAAAACTATAAAATATTCCTTTGCCACTAATCAATCTCTCTCTTAATAAAATATAAGAATTCAGTTGTACAGTAGAGTTATTACTCCTGCTGGGATAAGAATTTACCACTTGATTTACATACCTCACATGGTCCCTAAATTCTTGTACTTTATTCAGGTTTAATAGCCATAGGCAGGACCGGCTCACCCGCTAGGCAAGCTAGGAACTCGCCTAGAGTGCGGGCCAGCCCTTAGGGCGCAGAAGGAGAGGCAGGGGCGGCCGCTAGCACGCCTGGCCAGCATGGCGCCTGGCCAGCATGGCGGAGGGAGGCAATGTTATGATTAAGTAGGAGCATTGCTTCCCAGGCTCAATGGCGCACGGGGGAAATCCCGCAATTGGGCCTCAGCTTTTTGAATTTACTATAATCTATTGGGATCCATGCTTTTGCCTCATTCTGAACAGTGATCCTGTTATGTACCTATTGCTTCAAATAAAGGAAAACCTTTTCTACAAGTGTGTTCTTCGTTGATGCGATGGGAGTCTGACACTGGGAAAAGGAAGAGGAGAGCCGAGAAAAGGAAGGGCAGCGTAAGTGAAACTGACTGAGAAGGTGGCAGGCAGGTGAGAAAGAGCTTCACAACCTGCCCGCCTGCCGCCTTCTCAGTCAGTTTCACTTTCGCTGCCCTTCCTTTTCCCGGCTCTCCTCTTCCTTTTTCCAGCGGTGGCCGAGGAAGAAGGTGCCTTGCAGCCCCCGTCCCTCTGTGAGGGCTGATGGCGCGTCTTCTGCCCAGGTGCTGTGTTGGGGAGCAGCCAGGCACTCGAAGGTAAAGGGGGGGGAGGCAAGCTGGCAAGCCCAGCCCCACCCGGAGTCCCATGCCCATGTCGCCTGGAGCTGGTTGAGGGGTGGGCAGAGGTGCCGCGCTTCGGTGGGGGTAGGTGAGCCTCTGAGTATTACTGTTGCCTCGCCTGAGCTGGGCTTTTGTTAGCGGATGGGCACCGTGGGGTTTTCGCAGAGGAGGAAAGCGTGCCCAGGAGCACACCCAGGTGCCCCCTGCCCCAGTGGCCGCTACTGCACAGGGGAAGCGAGAAGGAAGAGGAAAGCCTCGTGACTACACTGCCAGTTCCATTGTTTTGGGGCGGGGTGAAGTACAGTGGGGCGAAGAGCGAAGGCAGACTGAGCCCCCGACTGTTATGAATGCTTGACTAAGCTACTGTGTGTGTGTGTGTGGAATCCATCTGGGGAGTACTTGGGTGGTCAGGAATTGGGAGGGGTGCACCTCGGAAGGGTAGGGCGCCCCCCCCGCTCCCCCCATCTGCTTCTTCCCTGCTAGTCTATCCATTCCTCCTTGGGTGTGGGAGAGAGAGAGAGCTCTGACCCGAGGCGCCGCATGCCCGCTGGGAGGTCTCCAGGCCCCACCGGGAGGTTGGCATCTGCGCTCGCCTAGGGTGCAGGAACACCTCAGGCCGGCCCTGGCCGTAGGCCATACACCAAAGAACATTTAGGAGTTGGAAATAATGATACTGAATTTAGTTTAATCAATTGTGCAATTTTTGCTGTAATTAATTAAAAATAATCTGAATTTATGAACATCTGAAGTGGTTGAATATTTTGAATTTCTCCCTGGCTGTGGCATATTTTGAACAGTAGAAAAAGATGTGTCATAATAAATCAACCACTGACAAAGGACAGTTGCCAAAAGCACTCTTCTGGAGGTGTCCTAAGGAAACAGCCCTTCATCTGAATGCATTGCAGTGCACTATCACATGCAGCGACCTCAGTTTGGAAACCACCAGAGTGTGGACGTATTGCAGGGTTTCAAATTCAACTGGGTATTTGATTCTCACATAAATTGGGGGACGTTTCCTTCTGGGATCTTTAAATAAAAGATTCCAGTCCTGTTTAAGAAGTTTCTCAGAAGGTAACACTCTTTTCCTCTCTGGTAAGAGGTTCACAGGCCTCCATGGGCTCAACTGAGTGCTTTTGTAATCCACGGTTGTGTTCCACAAAGACCAGCAGCACTCATGGGCTGCTAAATGAGCAAAAAACATGGACCCTAAATGCAGTTTTTGCTGGTATGGAATGGGGTTGCCACTTCAATACGTATGAATTAGACCTAAGCAGGGTCGTAGAAAAAGAGGTGCAGGAGCTCATTAGCATAACTTATTTGTATATGCCACACCCCATGACATCACCGGAAGTGTGTCAGAAGGCAACACCCACCGCTCAGGCTCCACCCCAAAAATCTCTAGGTATATCCCAACTCAGAGCTGGCGAGCCAGCTTTACACTTTTTGACTAAAGACACTTTAGGTTTCCTTTGCTCTTGCAGGGAAGCTACCCTCAGGGCTGGCTCCAGGTTTTTTTGTACAGTAGGC